AGTTCCAACTGTGTTCACTGGTTCACTGTATGACGTCTGAAATTAAGTCAAGGGCCGCACATCAGGGTGTCTGCAGGGTATGGTCAGATATCTTGTGAACATGAAAAATGGGCAGAGTCAATCACACCATTATGATCACAAATTTGTCTGTTTTTCACCATACCCTGTGGACACTCCTGGCCACACACATAGACCTACACCCTGAAGGACCACGGATCCAGCACTCTTTGATTTAGACAAACTGACATGAGATTCCTCAGATTTCCCCACATTGTATGGAGGAGGTTTTGTGTTGTTCTCTACTTTCCCTTCTTCTGACACAAAGGCAAGCAGTGATGCTAACTGCCCATTTTTTTAGCAACATCATGTCTTTTAAAATTAGGAAGGAAAGAAAAGCCCTGCTAGATCAGGCCAAAGGCCCATCTCTCCAGTGTCCTTAACTCACCATGGTCAGGCCTTTAGGAAGCTCAGGACACGAGCTCTTGAACACCCTTCACACTGAGTTCACCAGCATTTAATATCAAGGGTTGTGTGGAGTTGGGCAGCCTCTAAATTCAAATAAATAAATAAATGAGGTTTAATGCTTTAATAGTGGAAGTAATAACACAGGGCAGATCCACTGTTTCAGCTTACCCCAGGACAAGCATAAGCCACCCACCAATTCTGAGTTTTTCTCTGATACAAGTTCAGTGAAATAGCAGACTTGCCCATCTCCCTCCCTCCTTCTCTCTCTTTTTTTTTTAACAAGCTCACACTGATAAACAAGCTCTTCTCCTTTTTTAACTAGGGGAAATTAACAAGAATTCTGTCACTCCCCATCTGTCCAAGTGACAAGGAAAATGGTAAAACAGAGGTCCTTCCTTCCATCTGTTAATCCAGGACAGATAAAGAAGCAGGGAAATTCACCATCCAGGAGCCACAATAAAGGTGGTTCAGGCAGAGGTTGGGGTCATCTCTATGGCCAAAATGGAAGAAGGTGTTAGAAGGTTGGGGCATGTAGACATTTTTATATATTAAGACATTTAGATGTTTAAACATTTATCTTTATAATAAAAGCAGGCCTAGCAAAATGCCAATATTCCCTTTCCTGTATTTTAGATTATCAAAAGGTTGCATTCTTGAGGATGAGACCTTTAACACTTTTCAAAATCTCAAGGATGTGTTAATTGCTGACATGGTTTGCATCTTCCTGACTGGAAAGGCAGCAACTCATGTAAGCAGATAAACTGTCTTGACCTGATAGTCTCTTCTTGTTCAGATGACCCCCCAAAAAGAAAGAAAATCGGTCCTGCCTTTGTATCTTAGGGATGTATGTAAACATACAGGAAGAGGAAAACCATGTCAGCAATTAACACATCCTTGAGATTTTGAAAAGTGTTAAAGGTCCCCTCCTCAAAAATTCAACCCTTTGAAAATCTAAAGTACAATTAAACAAACAATCCAGAAAAGGAATATTGGCATTTTGCTAGACCTGCTTT